GGTGGTTCAGTGTTTTGCGGTGGTGGGTAGAGGACGGTCAGCGAAGGAAGCGCTAAAAACCGAGATGGGACGTCTGTTGTACCAAACTACGTGTTTTTCTTTGTCGTGAGGTCTCCAAGGAATCATTTTCTGCCTTTCTTGTGAGTAGAAGGGGAAAAAAAATCAAAGAATTTATCTGTGTGATAAACACGGGTCAGCTCGGAGGTGTTTGCAAACCCTCATGCTGAGCTGTGCCCCCGCTCCCCCTTTCCAGGAGCTGCTGCCATCCCTACGGCCACATCGCAGTTAAATACAGCAGAAAAAAGGGCGGTTGCGATTAAAATCTGGCATCGCTTGTGCCTGTATAAAGTCACCTGTTTAAAAAGTGTCCAGTGATTAACATCCCCCGCTGCAAATGCGTGAACCAGTAAGGCAGGACAGCGCTGGTAGTGAACTTGGTAATTAGTTTACGCTATCAAATAGTTCTTATTAAATAAGTTTACAACAGAGTTTGCACCTCGGGATTAGGAGCGGTCTTTGCTCTGTGTGAACCCGCTGGGAGCTGCGGAGTGTGCTGGGGGATGAACAAGGGGAGCTGAGGAAGTTCTGCTCCACAAATGGCTCCCAGTTTGCTCTTCGGTTCTTAAATTGGTGCGGCTGGAAGCTCTGGGAAACAGGTGGCTGCTCCGTGTCGTCCTTGGGCTGCGGAGAGAGTGAAATTGAGCTCGTACGTCATGTTTCTCCTGGCTGCTCTGAAGTCGAGGGAACTCCCTTAACAGGCAAAAGCGTGGCTGGAAATATGCGAGGGAGCCTAAGGGCGATAAGGGACGGCAATAAGGCTGTGCGGAGCCACCGACTGTCCATCTTGCGCTTGTCTCTTCCCCCCTCTTCTCCCGTTTCAGTGTGGCATTGTCCTGGGAGCTCTGCTGCTGATTTTCTGTTCTTGGATGACTCATCAATCCTGCATGTTCCTGGTGAAATCGGCCAATCTCAGCAAGCGCAGGACCTACCCCGGCCTCGGTGAGAATTTTCAGCTCTAGGGCTTGTTTTTTTGTTTTTTTTTTTAACTGCGGTTTTACTTTGACCTCTTAATTTACAATTTTCATACTGATATTGTTGGAATAGCAAATGGTTTCTTGATGTAGTTTTCAATTTGTGTTTTGTTCCTCTGTCAGTCTCTCCCCCCTGCCCCATGTCCCCAGGGGAACGCGAGGGTTTAATTCTGCTCTTGACAGTGAAGTTAATAGGCGCAGAATTGTTTTGACTCTGCAGGGCAGGGGAGGAGATGCAGCGCTGACTGATCAAAACCCAAGTTTTCGGGAGCTGGCGTAGCGGGTGTCTGGTGTAAATTATTGGTCTCGGCACGAAAGCCGCGAGCTTCCCCACCCAGTGTGCTGCCGAGGACATCGGGTTCTGCCAGCGGAGAGCCTGGCATGGAGCTCGGGCTGCCTGGATCCGAGCTGTGTGCGCGTTTATGGCAGAGCAGAGAGGAAACAGCGCGCAAGGTTCCAAGCGGCCAAGAAAATAAAAACATCTGCAAGATTCATGTGTGGGTTTCTGGTAGAGCCTGCCAGCCCTCTGCCTCGGAGCTCGTCGCCTCTGCGCTGGCGCCAGGGCTGGCCTCTGCTTGTGACCTCTCTTCTGATTCTGACCAACTTGGGGGGCAGGAGGAGGTGGTCGGGTTCCAGTCCTCTCTGTTGGCATGTGAAATGACAGGAAAAGTCATCTTTTACTTGGTTTCCCTTATTTCTCTGGGGGAGGAGAGAGTTGGCTGACATTGCCATTGGTAAAAGAGATAAAGAAACGCATGGCTCGCTCGCTGACCGTGTTGTTGACAGATGGGTTTCCTCCATCCTCAGTGCCTGAGATGCTGCTACCGGGCTGCACGTCTGGGCTTCTGCCGAGTTACATCTGCCAGAAACGGAAAAGATCAAGAAGTTGTGTGGTCTCGGAGGTTGTGCCTGTGATGCTGGAGGGAAGGGGGAGCCCCCAGGTAGCGCCTGACTTGTCCCCACCGCTCCCAGCCCAGCTGCCCGGGTTGCTTCTCCCTGCCCCCTTACAACACGTCTTTGTGTGCCGCTTCCCCGAAGTACAGAGAGTCCCCTCCACCTTGGAGCGTCTCCCGGGAAGAAGGGATCCTCTGCACTTTCTGAAGCCAAGGGGCTCGAATACACAGAGAGCCAGTAATGCTTCTAAACTTCCTGGCACGCGAACGCTGGTGCTGAAAGAAACGCCTCTGCCCTGGGAGAGGTGCCACCGGGAGGGACAGCCCTGAGAGGAAAGGCAGCGCTCCTATAATGCATCCTAATGCATCAAGGTTGAGCAGCTCCACACAGACAGCCTTTGTCACCGTGGGCTTGTGCCCTGGTACATCTGCGAGAGATCCTGGCAGCCCCTGCAGTTGATTCTGTGGGAGGCTTTGGCAGTGCTGAAAGACGTAAGAAAGTTTTGCAAAATAACTTCAGTCAGCCAGTCCCTTCCGGAGGAACATTGAGAGCGATCGTTAGAGCTACAAAAGAGCCAGGCTGGTAGCAGGCTGATACCTAGCCCAGACGCCTTTGCTCGGCAGCGCTCTATGCCTGAAGGGGTTGGGTATTAATATTTTGCTCTTTGCCGCTGTTCTCCTGCACCGAGTGGAAGGGAAGGGCTGTAGGCAGATGTGTGGACAAGAAGGGAAGCGGGATGCAGTTCCCTGACAGACTTTAACCAGGAGGTGGGTTAATGCCTGCCCTTACAGCTGCTGGAAGTGGCCTGAGTCTTTGCAGACTGCCTGTGCGGGGTACCGACCCCGTCAGCAGCACGCTGCAGCCCTGGGAGTCAGCTTGGCTCCGCTCCCTGCAGAGAAAAGTGCTGAAACACAGGTTGCCCGTTCTAGTAACCACACTTCGTTTAAAAGGGCTTCTCTCGTTAATGAGCAGATTCAGCTCTGCCCAGCTTGTTAGGCATCTAGAGATCCCATTCTGAAGATGCTTGACTGTACAATTTATTTTACAGTCATCATCTCCTTCCTCCTTGAGAAGATAAAGGATCCAATTTTTCCAGTGTCCCCAGATGGGGACATCTGGCGTAACGTTTGAAAGCTTGTTCTCATTAGAACATCACTTCAGAACAGCCAGGGAGACTGATGGTTTCTCAGCATCTCCAGCCCAGGCTATCGCCGGCAGCTGTAGCCGTTATCCGGAGGCACCTACCTTTGTGTGACGTAAAAAAGGAGCTCGCAGGAGCCGTGCAGCAGCAGCAGCCCTTCTGGAGCTTGGCTCGCTAATGTCCCAGTCTCCAGGAGAGATGTTTTCCTCTTGCTGGTTCCCCTCTCTCTCATCCCTGGCCCTTTGGCTGTGTGAGTGATCCCCCCAAGGGCCTTTTCCCCTTATTGTTGCGAGCTCCCAAACGAGGTGAGAGCTGGAGGCCGAAGCAGTGCGGCTGCTCTTCACACTCGGGCAGCGTGCCTGGTGGCGGCTGTTCCACCCGGTCTGTCACCGAGCCATCGGCTATTTTCAGTGCTACCCCACATAACAGCTCTGGTTTATTTTTTTGCTGTGGGTCTCCTGCCATGCCTTTTTCTCATTCTGTGGGAGAACATCTTGTTTCCTCAATTTTTAGCTCAAGCAGAGTCCAAAGAAATCAGACTTTGTAAGTTAATATTTAGAATAGCAGAAGATGCTTCCAGAAGCGAATAAAGTTTGTTTTCTGGCGGCCTCCAGGAATGTGTGCTGTACCTTGAGAGAAGACAAAAGGGAGTCTAGGGTGGTGGTTTTCATGTTGGACCTCTGCATTTAAAGACTGACAGAATTGGGCAGTGTGTGGTCTGTGCTTGGAACTGGAGGTCTCAATTCCCATTCTACCCAGTAAGATCTAAAAATACAAGCAAAGTTTTCTTGGCATTTTCTTTTTAAGAAAAAACACAATGATTTAAAGACTACTGATCATTTTCTGCTACAAGCTGCAACTCAAGTATGGGAGGGGGAAAAAAAAAAAGTCTCTTGGCAGCAGCCCTTTGGTGTGGGTTGTGAGTACCGGGTATTCTGGGTATGGGATTGAACGTTCTGGGCACCGTCTCAGATCTCCCATCCAGCAACGTCAGGCGGTTCCGCTATAGTGGGAAGATAAAAATAAAAATGAGAGTTTGATTGAAATTTTGCACTGCAGTAACTTTTTGCCACACAGCATCTTATACATGCATATTTTCTCTTCCGCGCTGACTTTCTTTTAATGGTTGCCATGTGTGACTGCTACTTCACACCACTGTTTTTTTAAAATAGAAAAAAAAGAAGAACCTGCTTTCTATCTTTTCCTCATCTTTGTTCCTGTCTTCTGTGGTTTTCAGTTTGCGGAGGGCATGTCTGAAAAAGAAAGTGGGAGGGCGGGCAAGGGAAACAGCCCCAAAACACAACACCGGTGGGTTCCTGCTGCACTGCCCTTTGTCACTATTGTTTAATGTCGGACTCGTGTGTGTGCCACGTTCTGGACCTTTCTTTGACTAACTATAACTTTTTTTCCTCTTATGCCAGCATTTCATGCCTATGGAAAAGCAGGAAAAATGTTGGTGGAAACAAGGTAATCTGCTACTTATTTAAAGCTTGAATAGTTTGGTTTTCTTTAATGAAAAATGCTGCTCTGTAGCCTCTTGTGCCCTTGGGCTCTCGTTTCTTACCCTCCTGCCTTCTCTGGTCCCAGAAGTCTTCCTTGCCACCTAGAATTTGAACAAGAGCGTAAGTGAGATCCCCTGAGCGCAGCTCGCAGGTGTCGCCTTCAGCATGTCCCACCCGTTCCTGCGTGGAGACAAGAGCGCTTTCCAGATAGTGGGAGCAGAGAAGTCAGGGAATGAACTCATCTCCCGCTCTGCTGCGTGTGCTATGAAATCATGGGCATGTCACTTGTGGATGTTTTCCAGGGGTGAAATCCCTGCCAAGATTTCCGTGAGTTAGTGGGAGGGAGAGCATTCAGTACCTCGGATCCACCCTTTAGCTGCTCTGGTCCTGCCCGCTCCTCACAGCGGGTGCCGCTTTCCCCTGCGAGATGCCAGGCGTTAAGAGATGCCTCGTGGGGGAAATTCTCTCTCCGTTTCAGGACAGACTCTGGTTCCTCAGGTGACCCCTATGCAAGTAGAAGCTCCCTCGCAGGTCTCGTTGAGCAGTCGTGATGGGTGATGGGACCTCGTTACAGCACTGCTTTTTCCAGCAGATATTCTCTGGTGGAGGCGTCTTGAGCCCAGGCCAGTCAGTGGTGCTGGCTCCTTCCCTCTTCCCAGCTGCAAACTTCTGCAGAACACTAAAAATACACAGAATATTTCTCAGATGTTACTTGTCCGTGCAAGCAATTGCTGTAATTGCCAGAGGGATGTTATATAATTGGAACTGGGAGGGAAAGTGGTCCGTGCAATCATGAATGGGAGGAGAAGCAGTTCATAAGACAATCTTTTCATTAAAGTGTGGTCCATTTTGTGGAAAGAAGTTTGAGAGCCGATTTGGTATCGAGACTTTCATGGTAGGCCCCTGCTGCGGGGCGTGGGGCTGAGAGAACCTCTTGCTGATTCTTTTAAACGTTTTTCCGAGAAACAAAGGAGTTCTTGCCATCTCCAAGGTCTGTTTTTTCTGTGGCTCCAAACGGCAGCTAAACCCATGCACGGGCTGTTACCAGAACGGCATCTCTAGCCAAGACGTTAGGTGTGAACGCGAGGTGGGTGGAGGTTCTCTGGTTTTTATTTTACTAGGGTTGAATGCAGAACTGGTGGCCTGCCCTTCACAAGCCTGAGGGTAAAAGCGTGGTCCTCCTCTCCACCAGCAGTAGCGATGCACAGCCCGCTCACGTGGCTGTGAGAGCTCGCTCGCAGCCCACTGTATCCCTGTAGACAGAAAACCTACTTTACTACTGGTTGCCAAATGTGTATTTCCGTGTGGGTTCAGCAAAACCTGGGGCTTGTCTCCACTGTGAAAGGCCAGAAGGTTGTGTTAGAGGGTGGGTGTACGCTGAAGCAAGGCACGCTGAGGCTGCTCTACTCTGAACACAAGCAAGTGGCTGCACACGTTTTTAAGTCACTTTAAATGTACCCTTTTAGCTGTTTCTGTGTAACTCTTCTGGATGTTCCTTGGTAAACGGCGGGTGCAGTAGGATCCTAAGCAATCTTCAGCTGTTGCGGTTGTGTGCAGGGTGTAGCCCTTGAGACCTTGTCGGTGCTAAACCTTTGTCTTCACCCTTCACCAGCGGCTGCAGTGTGTGTAGGATGTCTCCTGCCCCCAGCTATGAACCGTAGCCCTGCTCCACGCAGGGCACGTAGCGGTGTTCTCACTGCTCACGTGTCGTCGGTGGGGGCCCCGTCGCCGCAGGCTCGGTTACGGCAGTCCCAGGCAGTGTCTCTAAGGTAGCCTTGGCATTAACAAAGCCTCGTCCTCTTGTGAGGGCTGCAGAGTACAAATCCGCTGCGAATGTGGCTGCTGACCCACACCTGCTCAGGAGCTGCGTTCCAGGGTTCCTGCTCCGGCCTCCTAACCTGCGTGTATTTTGTTGTTTTTGCAGCATGATTGGGCTGATGCTGGGAACTTGCATTGCTTTCTATGTTGTCATTGGTGATTTGGGGTCCAATTTCTTTGCCCGGCTGCTTGGATTTCAGGTAAATAAATCCTCACTGGATCACATCTACAACGCAGACAGCGATCCCACTTCTTGCATCGAGCCGTGTGTGCCTTAGATACAGCAAAGAACGTCCTGCCTTAGTAGCGTGCTCAGCAGCCCACGAGGTGTTGTGGGGTCACCTCATGGTGAGCTTTAACGGCACGCCTTGTGCACAGAGCATTTAGCTCTATGAAGTCCTGGAAGCCCAGACATATGGTGAACAATCAGATGTGTAAAACCTCCAATAAGGCGCTTCCAGCAAAGGAATTCTTTTTAACTTGGTCTCTTATTAATTCCGGAGCAGATTCCTGGAGGAGATGATGCTTCCTGTCTTAATTCCTGCCCCAATGGGTAGTGACAGAGAGTTCCTCTGTCCGAGCTCTCACCCCTTTGCAGCCCTGTAGTTCAGGAGGGATTTTTGTCCTGTCGCTTGCTGTTTTGGTGGCCAAAGTTACTGTGTGCCTGCCTCCGCTTTAAGATAAAATAAGCTGTGTGATGAGCCCGGTGTTGGCTCAAGACGCGTGGAGGCGAGAGGTGCTCCTCGTGGGCAGGAGGCTCTTGCTGCTCTTCCTGGAGAGCTGTAAGCAGCGGTGCTCGGAGCCGGCGTGAGGGCCGTGCGGGGAAGCAAAATGGACATGTGGAAGGATTTTTGGCGGGGCTGTTATCTGCTCTGCCTGATGCTGCTAAGCTCCGATTAAGGGACTGTGAAGTTAAAAAGATGCGTTGTGGCTGCAGCCAAATTAGGTATTAAATATTTCCTAGCATTTCAGAGTGTTCTGCTATAATAAATACCAATGCGAGGTTTTGATTAATTTCCTGGATCAGAATTTTCAAGACTTCAATCTCTTGTTTCCCAAGTAAGTTTAGTTTTTATTCAATTACATGAAAATACTTGAATAGCTTGTGCTGGAATAGCATTTAAACACCCCCCCATCCCCCCCCAAATACTTCCACTTCAGGATGGACCTGTCACGCACTGTGTAGAGCAACAGTGGCACCCAGTGACTGTATAAGCTAATCACAGACCTAGCCAAAGAAATGGCAAACTTTCAGCATCGAATCTTTAAATACGTACAGAAGCAGAATTTCACATTTGAAATCGATCCTGGCTTTGCATTGTTTCTTACTCTGGAAAAATTAACCACATCGGGGTTTGCTAATTTGGTGGGGTGTTTTGAGTATCCTCCGTGCTCCAGTTCTTTATGCAGGTCCCTTTTCCAGGTGTCAGGCAGTTTCCGGATAGTCCTGCTCTTTGCCGTCTCCCTGTGCATTGTACTTCCACTGAGCCTCCAGAGGAACATGATGGCCTCCATACAGTCATTCAGTGCCATGGCTCTGATCTTTTACACGGTGTTCATGTTTGTGGTGAGTATCGACGCTGGGAATGCTGTTTTCCTATTATTTTAACACAGATGTTCCCGCTGGGACAGCCTGCAGGTGCAGGCCTCGAGTTTAAAATGTCCTTCCTGATAATTAGTGCTGCTATGCCGGGCATAATGAGTGACCTGGGTGCCTGTGCTCGTGAGCTGGTGGAGGTGGGGAGGTACAGACTGTCGAAACTGGCCAGCGGGTCTGTAAGCTATTACAAATGCGAGGGACTGTGGTGGCACAAATAATAATAAACCACAAATCGAGTTGTGGTTTATTCTGCTTTTTGGCGTCTTATAATTTAGGGCTCTGAACTTTAAATCAAAGGATGGAAGATGTGGGGAAGAGTGCCTGGAAGCAGAAGGACTTTCATCCTGTGTTAGTGTTTTGCCTTGAAAACCTCAATCCTTCTAATCTGTAGGGGGAAGGCAGTTCTTGTTAAGAACTCAAGCATATACTTTGCGTGCGTTTTTGCAGCTGATGGTTAATGTCTTTCAGGCTGCAAGTAGTTTTATTTGTTAGACACCAGCACTTCTATTTCTTGCGCATTGAAAGCTTCGTAAAGTCTTAAGCCTGGTACATGGCGTATACTTGTTCTTAGATATTTCTAGAAAAGTTTTTCTTCACTGAGGTGAATGGATTCTTGACCATTTAGATTAAGTAGGGTAAGCTGAGAGTTACCTAAAGCTGGCCCTGTTTGGCTTGGCCAAGCCCCGTGGTATAGCACCATTTACTGAGGGGTGGAGACTTTCACTTGCTTTTTAATGACTTCAGGTTTCACCTCACGGATGCTCATGTGGTTGGTCGTGGAGCCCCACCTGTTTCTCCCAAATTTCAGGACTGGAAGAGTTGAAACAAAAGGAAGAAAAGGGAGGTGTGGAAATTCTTTCCACTTAACATTTTTTTTAGTAGGTTGTGCTGGGTCACGCTTCTGAGCTTGCCTCTGTAAGGAGGCTGGAGACTGTAAATGAGTGTTTTACAAAACTGCCGTGTTCCAGGAGCTGTGCCTTTAAGAAAACCACAACATTTCATGAGAGTTGGCTGCACTAAAACATAATCTCTGGGGATTAGAAAACCCCCATTCAGGTGATATTATAAACAGGCATTCAGACATATTTACCTTCTGTTTCCTGTGCAACCCAATGCCTGCCAGTTTCCCTGTCAATGGCAAAAGAGCTCCCCTGGCCTCGTCTGGGTGCCTCGCTCCCCTGTTTTCATGAAGTTTATCCTTGTCTTTGGTGAACTGGTGTTGTTAAATGGCTCTGGAGTAGCAGTGTGCAGGCGGGGTCCTGTTTTAGGAACCCTTGTCTCTCTCTGTCAAACAGGATTCTCCAAAGCAAATCTCGCTTCCCGTTTGGGTTTAAAAACGTGTTTAAAAAAGTGCAAAAGAAATTGCTGGGAACAATAATTCTCCCAGTTAAATGTGTCAGTGGAAATTGTTCCACCCTGGTGCGTGCTATGATGTCTGATGGCATCAAACAGGGGGGAATGTCATAGATTTTTTAAAATACACCCTGGGATCCTTGGTGGCAAGGGGCCTATGGAGGTTGCTGGGAGCTTTAATAAAGTGTGTGGGTGGGGTGGGGAGCTGGGGAATTTGACTAATAGAGGTCGGGCTGTGGTAGGCAGCGTAAGCTGTTCCTCGCAGAGCTGCCACACTCTGCCTTTTATCCCAGCACCGGCATTACTGCTGCCATTAAGTTGTTTCGGGTTGGATCTTAACCCCTTTTCTTCCTCTTGGCTACAGATTGTGCTGTCGTCCTTCAAGCATGGCCTCTTCAGCGGGCAGTGGCTGCAGCGAGTTAGTTACACTCGTTGGGAGGGCATTTTTCGCTGCATCCCCATCTTTGGCATGTCTTTCGCCTGTCAGTCGTAAGTATCTGCCATTCCCACTTCTGGCAGTTGTAGTGCGCAATGAGTTTTTGTGAGGGCAGAGGGTCATGAGGATCTGCAAGGGATAGATACCATCTGGTTTCCTATTTTATTTTAATCAAAATATTTTACAGCCCACTGAAGTACAGCATCTCATTCAGTTGTGACCCTTTTGTTACCTAGATGGGGGAGGGAGTTATATTTCACTTGGGAGTTATTGTACTTGAGCAACACAAGATCATTTGGGCCAAACAGATCCTCAGTGTAATGCACGTTGCTTCTGGTACAGCTGCAGAAGTGATGAATTTCCCCTGTTTCTTGAAGGGAATGATTTAGTACCAGGAAAGGCAGCAGGGCTGTGTCGCCTAATGGCCACAGGGCCCCCTGCAGGGTAGCGTACACTCACGGCTGCTCTCTGTTTCCCCAAATTTCTTTGAGAATACTCAGAAGATCACACAGTCGTTGACTTTGGAGAGTTGTTTGCACATTTCCAGTTACCTGCTTTTAATGAGGGTTTCCGCTGGCACGTGGAAGGACGTGATGGCAGACCAGGCTATTTTCACATTTCTAGCAGCATTACCTCCTGCACCAAAATGGCAAGTGAGCAATACGTGCCTGGCCAGAATAGTAACAGACTTTAAATAGAAGTGTAAATCCAAATGTGGACACGGAAAAGACTATCCTCATTTGGAAGGCTGGCAGAGTCGGGCTTTCCCCCCTGTAGTTCTAGCAAATGGGTAGCATGCCAACAGTAAATGAATGTGACAGATAAAATTTGTTCAGACTGCTGTGTTTACACCCACACGCAAAATCCAAATCATCATTTTCCACTTATTGGCTCTCTTGGCAGCTCGGTTCCTACCCGAACACGCTCCAGTCTTGCTGTTTAATGTCTCCATTATAACTGGCGAAGGGAGTTGTAGTCTTTTACAGCTTTACCTAGTTAACATTTTAGAGTTTTTAAATTCCAATTTTTTTTTTCTTATGGTAGCCACACAGTACCCAGCACAATTTTTCTGGGAGTTGGAAATGCAGGGAAGTCGTTTGGCCTGGACCAGTGTCCACGTACCTAAATATAGGCTCCATTACAGCACTTACGTGGCAAGCTGAACCTAAAGCTATGCGTTTTTTCCAAGCATCAGGGCAATACGCTGTCCCCAGTCCAGGCACTCTTTATAAGCACGATATTCTCAGCTAGGTAGGTTTAGTTTTGCTAACCTCTGAATCACCTTTTTAAAAAATAAATAATTCTAACATAAAGCAGAAATCCTTTTCCTTCAGCACGTAAATGCAGCATACAGTAAGGACAAATAAATGCACTATTATTCTAGCTTGAAAAACTTGACCCTGCTTTACTTGTGAGTTCAATACCCTTCGCTCTTTAAAAGCTATCCTGTTGTTGCTGAAGTTGCAAAGTAGGTCACTCCTCTACAGTTATGTAGCATGGCAATTTGCTGTGGAGCTGAGAGCTGGGAGTGCGAGGACTCCAGGGTTACCTCTGCTGCAGCCTCCTTGCGTGACCTTGGTCAAGTCACTGAACCCTCTAATTAAAGAGGAGTCAATAGAGCTCTCCAGGAGAAAACTTCTAATTTCTGCAGATGGCCATTCTGGTGCAGATGGATGCAAAAATGCTGAATTCACAGGGATAATAAAAGTCAGGATGTTGTTCGTTGCCTCTGTGAGCATCAGTTCCCTGCGGGCTGAGTTAGTAGTGTGCTTGGAGAGCCTGTACAAGGCGGTCCCTACAGTGAAGGTGGACAACAGATACTCTGAGGTAGCTCTGGCCATCTCTGAAGCGAGGCTGCTTTCTCCGAGGCTGCTCTTAATGCTTGTGCCGACTTGCCTGCTCTCTGCTCAGGAGGAACCATCTGCTTGTGCCCTCTTTGAGGTGCAGTGTAACAGATAATGTGGGGAAGGCTCCCTGATCCTTCGCTGGCCTTCAGTGCAGTCGTTTTGCTTAAAAATAAACCCCGGCGGCGTGTCAGGACGTGCTGCCTGTTGCATGCTTCTTGTCCTCTTGCTCTGCCTTGAGAGGTGGTGATGGTCAGGAGGGCCCAGCAGCGTGTCGTGGGCGCTTGAGGGACACTGTGCTGGTCCTCCAAACCCAAGTTGACCAAACGGGTGCCGATAGGTGATCGTGGGAAGCCTGGGCGCAGCTGGACTTTGCATGGCACTTTTCCCCGTGTCACTGCCGTTGCTCCTGTACTAATGCGAACCTGGCCTGGCTCTGCCATCTCACGCACTGCAGAGCCTCTCGGCTTCCCTCCTTTCTTCTCCTTCCTGCGCCCGGGTGTTTGGCTGGCTCTCTTCCCCTCGGGGGGCTGAAGTCTGGGACATAGTCGGTTAATCTAGCGGAGGTTGCTGTGTTGAGGGCAGGGAGGAATCCGAAATGGAGAGACTCCTGGGGAAGCTGGTCTCCTCACTCCCTGCCGGTAAATGGCTGTCACGGTGCTGCATTCTCAGACCCCGCGCGTCTCACGGGTTCCTGCGAGCCGATGTGCTCGACCTCCTTTGTGCGGAACCGTTTGACGTTAAGGGATTAAGGGTTAAGGATTTTTCTGCTTGGCCTCAGCTTGACACACTTTCTGTTAATGGCTTTGTGCCCACTGGAGCTGGGGATACCCCCTTCCCATCTAACTGGATGCTCCCCCCCTTCTCGTGAGAGTTCCTTCAGTAACATGAAGCCAGGATGTAGCCGCTTGAATTAAAGTAACAAGAGGTTAATGAGTTGCTAAAATATGCACCTGATGTCAAAAAGTACATTCCACATGCTTTCCAGGTCTGTAAATACCCCAAATCCTGTGTAATTGGCGCTCCCAGCTTTCTATGAACTGAGCTCTAGCAGCAGCGCTGAAATATGACAGGCGCTGCATTTAGTTTTGTTTGTTTAACTTTTCTTTTAGACAGTGTGATGCTCTAACCTTCTTCCTGCTTTTACTCTGTAAACACTGCGTTGCTTTAATTATCAGCATAGAGAGCTCCAAGAACAATAATCTCCAATGCGCTGCCTGGCCTGGTGCCACTGGTGTTTCACTGGAACAAACGGTCATTCATTTTGCAACACTTTTGAACCAAAATGTTTACATCACACGTTTAGCTCCACGTGGTGGGGTGTGGAGAGCAGGAGTATTTTTGCAACACTTAAAGTTATGAGTGTTCTGAAATCTCTTGGCATTAGCAATATAAATTGTGGAATAGCAGCGAGTGTTTATGCTCCATAGGGGGAAGGTGTCTGGGATTCTTTGCTGCTGGGCTGAGGCAGGGAACGTGCTGGAGTTGGGTTTTTCTCTCTCTCTGCAGAAGGTTTCCTTAAATAATTTACCCTTTTCTACAGTCAGGTCTTGCCTACCTATGATAGCTTGGATGAGCCGTCTGTTAAAATCATGAGCTCCATATTTGCTTCTTCCCTAAACGTGGTCACCACCTTTTACATTACGGTAAGAAACTTCCCCTTCTCTTTCCTTGCCAGAAGTCACGCTCTGGAGGGGCAACAGGGATGATGATTTATCTTCAGTTGGGGCTGGTTTCTGCTTATCTGTATTTATCCTGAAAGAGAAGTCATTTTGCTGAAAGCAAAATTAGATGGGAGGTGATGAACCAAACAGTGCAGGAGGCATTTGGAGAGTCCAAATTTTCGGCGTAGCACATTTCCTTGGGCGGAGGCAGAGTGGAGACCCAGCTCTTCCATGTGCATCAGACTGCCATCTGCCTTCCAGGGCCCAGCCTGGAGCTGGAGATGCCCCCCCAGAGTTTAGGGGAGCTTCTATCAGCCTGTTGCAATTGGAAAGATGTGAAGGAAGTTATGCCTCATAAAGCACCAGTTAATAAAACCGAGTTAATAATTCCTGAGAAGAGCCTGCCCCTGTAACGATGCAGGGAATCGTTACGGCTCCTCCTTTGTCGGAGGGGACCGGTCCATGGGCCTGGCAGCAAGCAGGCCGTCACTGCTCTGTGTCACGGGCAGTGGTAGCGTTCCCTCGCTGCAACATCCTCTGTGAAAGCCCCCTGTATTTAGTGAGAAACTTGCCTCTGCTTTTAGGAAGGTCCCACTATTCGTTAACCACCTGTCTCAACTTTTGGGGGTGCTGCAGCTGGGGCTGCTGGCAGGTTGCCCGTGGAGGTGGCCCCACACTCCCTCCCTGGCTGTCTGGTCCTAACTCATGGGAGGTCGCTGACCTCCACCCTTTTGTAAAGAGCAGATATGAATGTGCTTTGAAGTCAAACCCCATCCGCTCACCTCCCCTCCTGCCGGACAGGTGGGCTTCTTTGGCTACGTGAGTTACACTGAAGCCATTGCTGGGAACGTCCTAATGAACTTCCCTTCCAACCTTGTGACGGAGATGATTCGAGTGGGATTCATGATGTCGGTAGCTGTGGGGTTTCCGATGATGATTCTCCCGTGCAGACAGGCGCTGAACACCCTTCTCTTTGAGCAGCAGGTAAGATCCTCTTGTGTGGCCAGGAGCAGCCGGCTGCCTGGGTGTGCACCTTTGAAACTTGCTTTTTGAAGGGCTACTGTGACTCTTTGGCTTCTGCTGCTGGCTGCCAACCTGGGCTACAAATGTGCCTTGGTTCTGTGAGGCTCTGTTGACAACTGCTATTTCTGACTTGTGGTAGGTACTCGCTATCCGGAGGGACAAACCCTCGACTGACAGTGAAATCCTAAGTGCCTGGTGTGTGGTAACGGTGCAGCAGGAGGCCCATAGCAGTCTGTAAATCCTGCTCTGCAGAATGGTTAATCTCTGGTACTCTGAGGTTCTTGTCCTCTCTGCGGAGGAATTTCGTGGGCAGAAGTGCTGGAGTTGCGAGTCTGAAGCCTGCTATTGCTCTGCTGCGCCCCAAGTCCCGTGGCTGCTACTTCCCTGCTCTGCTGGGGATTTCGGCTCTCGCACAGAAGTGTTACACAGTTCAGAGCTGAGGTGGTTCTCCCCCTCAGAAAGGGGGAGAAATGTGCTTTTGGAAACAGAGGAGCCTCCTTATTTCCTGCTGCTCCAGCTGGCATCCTTTTGCTGGCCAACTCGATCTTGCTTTGCATTTAGCTCAAGCTTCTGTTTCTGGCCTCAGAGCCCAGCCCAGCCTCATTTCTTCTTGCTTCTGTGTGTGTCTCCTCATTTCTGCTCTTTTATTATTATCCTCATCCTTGCACCTTTGTCAGTAGCCCCCTGAGCAGCCTTCTCCCCCCCGGGTTCAGATGTCCCCTTCCTCCAGTGCCTCCCCTGGCTGTTTGGTGCCGGTCTGGTGCAGAAGCATGTGGTGGAATACAGCCCTCTCCCACACGTTCACCTTTCCCAGGGTCAGCTCTTCAGACGGCCTTTGTGACTATAGTTGGTCTGTCTGATTTAGACTGTAAGTCCCTTGTGGCAGTAGCGTGTTCTCCTCTGTGTATTGTACGGCACTAAGCATGCCGATGGCATTCAGTAAATAACAGTAAGAGATTGTGGGAATGTTCTGAGGCCTTTGTGTATCTGCATAAATAGAAACCTCTTAGGGCAGGAAATAAAACTTGAGCAATTTATAGCTCTAAATCCTGCCACTTCTGCCTGTGAGAAGCCCCCAGCTCTTTTCTCACGTCGGGAGGGCCTAAGGATGGGGGAAGACGATCGGTGAAAGCCAGCGGGTGCAGAGGAGTAAGCGCTGGAAATGTTTGGGAGGGACTTGGTTCTCGCCTGGGCTCTGCTCGTTGCTCTTTGGGCTCTGAACCTGTCACTTCGCTTTCCTCTCCCATCTGTGCAGCCAGGAGAGCGGGGACCTGCTGGTTCTCCAGGGCACGTGGGCTTACTGGGTCCTCTGCTTTCTGCACCTCCTGCTCGGAGTGTGGAGATGGGATGGGAAACAGAGGGCATCTGGAAAACCTCCAGTATCAGCAGCTCCCCGGCAGTACCGACCATCCTCTCTGCCATCCAGGCAGGGTGTCTTCCGTCAAGAGGAGCTGGTACATGTGTTGTAATGCAGTGGGAATAGCCCTGCTCCCAGAGGTGTTAGGGGACACCTTGCTGTAGCAAAACCAGAGCTCTTCCCCGTGTGACCGTTCTCCCTCCTGCCTTCTCAGCTGCGGCTCTTTCTCATGCCCTTGGCCTTGGGCTGCTCGCTGAGGCTGGGCGGCTGCAGCACTGGCACAGGGATTCGGATACAGCTGTACGGTTCACATTTGGGGCAGGATGGAAACAGCAGCTTTGGCTCCGTGCCCCCCTTCACTCTTGTTTTGAAGGTTTAGATGCAGTTGCGTATTAAAACTGCTCAACCACGTCTAACTGCTCCCCCCCCAGCATTCACCTCTGTGGAGACCATAACGTGGAGGTGACGAAGGTACTGGAGCCTGCTGGGGTAATTGCTTAGGAGCTGTGGGGTTGTGATGCAGGAGCTAAACTCATTCTCCCCCTCCCGCCCTTTCTCTTCCAGCAAAAAGATGGGACCTTCGCTGCTGGGGGTTACATGCCCCCGCTTCGGTTCAAGGCCCTGACGCTGGCTGTTGTGTTTGGAACCATGGTAGGAGGCATCATGATCCCGAATGGTGAGTGAGGAGTTGGGGGCAAGGGCTGGTTGCTTGGCTATTTTCTCTGGTCTCTTTTATTTGCTTTTCTGGGTGGGATGGCCCAGCCTGCCCGGGGACTCAGCCGCCATGTGCTGCTGCTCTGGCTGTCCTAGAAGAGGGGCCTTTGCTGACTTCTCTTCTTCTTTCTTTGCCAGTGGAAACAGTCCTGGGCCTGACAGGTGCTACGATGGGAAGCCTCATTTGTTTTATCTGCCCAGCTCTTATTTACAAGAAGATCCACAAGAATGCACTTTGTTCACAGGTCAGTGCTGATGCTGCTTGACATCCCCCTAAGCCCTCTGCAGAGCCTGGGAACATAGCTAATCTGACTGCGGCAGAGAAACTGCTCAGCACCTCCTTCAGCCTCCCCCTCCAGTCTGCCCAGTACAGGTGGGAGCTGTTCTGGTCATCTGCTTTGAGTAGCATCGCTTATGGGCATGCAGGCAGCAGTGGAGGAGGTGCTGGCCCAGAGCATGGCCTGCCCTGTGCTGGAACACCAGCTCTTTTTGTCCTTCCGGCAGCAAGCGAAGCATTCGCTTGGTGCATAAAATGCTGCTTCCAGTGGGCTGCTTCCGCCTTCTGGTGGGCTTCAAGTTCTGTATCCACAGAATGGGAAATCCAGGCAGTCTATAAAACCTTAACGGGCCTTACATCCCAACCTACCTGGGCTGGGTAAAATAAACACAGTTTCTCAGCGATGCGGTTCTTGCTGCTGGCCCTCAACTTTCTGGTTTCAACCAAAATAATAATAAAAAGGAACACACACATAGAGGTGTTGCTTCAGGAATTGATTTTTAAAAAATTGGGGTCGTTCACAGGCTGTTAGAAGTTTAGCTTTTCCTTTTGCTCCAGTTTGAATTGGCCTCCTCGGGGACTGAAGCAAAGTGGCTCTTTGCTGGGCTTGATCTCTCTGATTCTGCAAATACTGTGCTTTTGTGGGGCTGAAAAATTAACATGGTTTGTTTTTTTTCTAACAATAACTGAATCCACTGCCTTTTAGCAGGCCTCTGCCCCAGCATTACCAGTCACGACAGTGCTGGGCTGGGAATAAGGTTTTCGGCAAATGCAGAGTCAGCAGGGGGAGAGCACGACATTTTTGTGGGTCCTACAGAACTAATGGCTTTTTCTGTGTTTAATGACTTGTGGGTTTGCAAACGTACATGAAGTTTTTAAGCAGGGCGTATTTTTTTTTCTTTCCTCATGCCTTCTCATGGACAAGGAAATAGTCCAACTTTCCAGCTTTCACTCTGAATTCTGACACTTCGGTCCTAACTTTTTTGACTGAAACCCCAAGCAGGAGTCTGAATGCCAGCCTGGATTTTTCAGGGAAACAAAGAGCACTTTCAAGAATTGCTTTCTGTTCCGGCTGAGCCAGAACATTTCTCTGCAGTGCCTTGTAACTGCACTTAGGATGTGCTGAGCTCTTAGACTGGCTGCCCAGAGGCGACTGTCAGCTGCCTGGGCTTGAACACTGGGGCCCTCACAATGCTTGACCTGAAATGCTGGTCACAAGGCTGGTGAAGATGTTTGTCCTGCAGAAATCCCCACAAAGGAATAAGGGCTTATCTAAAGCATCAGCCCCCAGGTTACCCTGGCATTTCAGGGGGCTGGTAGCAAGCTGTCCAGCCTTCTCTTGAATGATCCATCGCCTGTCAAGTTTGCATACTTGCTTTGACCGATGCTCTGAAGTGCTGCAGCAAGGGCACACCTGCCTTCAGAAACGCACTAGGCTGCAGAGCACCTCCCTGCCTCCACTCTGGAGCCAAATTCTGGGCCCGCCCTCTCCTCGTTCCTCCAGGTCTTCTGCAAAGACTCATTTATTCTTTCCCTGAAGCTCCGTCTTTGTCCTGCTTTCTTTGATCAGGCGCTCCACTCCATCAAAATATGCTCCTGTGAAAAGTGGCAGTCAAGGGGGAGAAGGAGCCAGCTCTGGGCATAGATGTCCCTCCCGGCTTTTCCCTGCCTAAACGGTGTACATGTATGTTTTCTCTCCCTCCATCATCCTTAGCTTTCTTCCAAAGCAGCAGACCTTCTCAACTCCAGCCCTTATGCTTGCGTGAATTATCTCGACCCTTGCGGTGCTGCTGCTGGGAACTGGCTGCTTTTATTGGGCCACCTCTGGCACCCAGCAAAATCCCGTGTCGGGCAGCTTATGGGGCGGGTGAGATAGGAAGTTTAGATTTACCGAGCTGGGAAGATGGTGCAAGCTGAGGCTACGAAACAGGGGAGTTGAATTAAAAGTGGTGAAGAGGGTTCCAGGGGGAGGAATATGGGCAGTCCTAGATGTTTGCTGGCCAGCAAAAAGCATGGGCAGCTTCTGCCAGCGAGTTGTTAATTATCGCAGCCACTCGTCAGCCAGCCGAGGCTGGGGACGGCAGCTTGGGCTAGGCTGGGGGGCGGCTTGGTTGAAAGGCTTGCTGTGTTGGAAAGATGATCAGGTAACAGAGCAGTTAAAAAGCTTGAAGTCAGGCGTGCAGAGCTGTGAATGAACTGGGGAGGGCGTTCCCTTTCTTGTGGTTAAGCATCAAGTGTGTTCCTGTAAAGGTGCGGGTCCATGTCCTGCTGCCCTCCGGGAGCCGTGAGCAGGGGGACAGAGTGAGGTTTGGCAGAGTGCTGCTGAAGGTCGCGTTAAGGTCTGTAAACAGAGTGTTTAACTTCTAACAGGAAGGTGTTGGCTTCCCAGTGTTGACACAAGCCTGTCCGAGAGGCCCCTCCTAGGGAGGCCGGAGTTGCTGTTGTCCCAGCTGGGGAAGAGGAGCTGCAGAGAGGCTGCTTGAGGTCAGGAAATAACCCCTCGGTCTCGCTCCTGTGCGGATGGAAAAGAGATTCCCCTCTGCCCTCCCCTGGTAGCGCAGCGGCCAGCACACCTTCACCGCAGGCGTTTTTGGTCGGTACAGCCCTTCAAACACAGCATCTCTGTCGCAGCGCAGCAGAGGAACCCGGCAGTGACCGGGGCTCTGCATTCCTTCGCCGTGACTCTGTCCCTCCAAACGCTCGGTGTCCAAAACAGTACAGTTCGGAGGATGTCGTCACTCCACACAAATGCAATGTTTTTGCTTCCCGCTGGTGGCTCAGGCGTGGTTAGAGGAGGTGGTCTGAGCTAACGACACTTCTGTACAAAGTTCAAGTTATCTTCTGGGAGGAAGGACAGCCGAGGGAAAGCGACCAGCAGAGGAAACGGCCGTGTAAACTTCCCCTCCTGAATTCCCGTCTGTGCTCAAAGCGCTCCTCTCGGGAGACAGGCCCTTGCCTTGCTGACCTGCTTGTTGGAGGAGGCTGCAGCCAGAGGGGTTTGCATGTCCTCTTGCCATGTCCATGTTGAGAGGACCCTGGAGAAGGGTCTCTGCTCTCAGCAGGTTCGCTCTTCAGAGGCAGGGAGATCCTTCCTGTGGGACCAGTCTTATAACTGTTCTGCAGTCTTGCCCCTCTCCTTGCTCCAGGTTGTCAGCTCTTCAGCTCTGCCTGTGTTTGGTTCCTCAAGCCACCGGGTCCTTGCACCCCACGTTCCTCTTCCTTCAATTGCCAAATTAGCCTTGGTGGTCCCTTGAGTACAAACTGCCTGGTTTTCCCTGTCATAAGTATCTCCGTGGAATTAAGCCAAACTGTGGACCTCTTTATTCTGGTCTTCAGTTGCTGATGGGGTAGGTGAGGAAGAGGTGTGCTGATGGAGCTGAAGGTGAGGGGTGGCTGCTGCTTCATGGGCTGCCCAGCCTGTCTTTGACTGCCACATGTGCCCGTACCCGCTGCTCTGGGAAGCTCACAGATGAACTCCAAATGTTAAACAATCAAAGGGGTTTGAATCTAAGGCATTCAAGCCTGTGGTTCCCCACTAAGATAAGAAACAACAAAAATCTTTTTAAAACACTTAATGTTTTCAGCCGTTTCCTACAGTTCCCTTCTCTCCCACGTTGCTCCTAGTTCCTGTGGCACCAGAATAGATCCTCTTGGTGGAAACTCACTGTTGTTTCTGGAAGATGCCAGAACAGCCTTCCAGTCGCAAAGTGCATTTCTGCCGGGGCTGTAGATTGTGTGAGGGGAGGAAGTGGACGAGCTCCGAGCCGAGGGCAGCAGTGGCAGGGACCTGCTGACTCTGCTTTTGGCCCGAGCAGGATGGCAGGATATCTGCTCTTTGTGCACCCACACGGCAAGGCAGGGAGCAGATTTTACTTCTGTTTCCTTTGCAACATCTCTAAGGTCTGGCCTCTGCTCCCTGGCCATGCTGCTCGTCCCTTGTCCAGAGCTGCTTCACGTCCCGCCAACCTTTTCCTTCTGAAGGCGTCTGTCTGTCTGCAGCGGTGTGCTGAGAATGGGGTCTCCTGGGCCCGAGGCTCTGACCGCCCTGGCCTGCGTTTCTGGGTGATCTCCCTCAGCATGAGGAAGGAGAGGAAAACGTTAGCCTCTTCTCCCTGCCCTGGAGGTGCCAACGTTTTAACTTCTCCTTTCAATTTCACTTCTCCCCTTTATTTTCAGTTTTCTCTCTCCGGCAGCTCCCAGTCGGAGCAGTGGTCCCCTGTAGCCATTCCTGTTTTTTTTCACACTAAGCAGCATCCTTTTGTTGTGCTTTTTGTGAACTGGGTTGTAAATGCCACAGGGTAAGGATTCTGGGGGAAGAGGATGAGTCCCGCAGGATGTGGTCCTCTGGTGAGGTGGTATCACAGCCCAAGCCAGAATCACCGGTACTCTGGGTGTTGCACCTCTCTGCAGAGGGGCCAGGCAGCTTGTGAGGTTCCTACTGGACAGCAACAAGTTCGCGTACCAAAGCAGCATTTCTCCTTTGCAGATTGAGACTTTCTTAGGTTTGCCTTGTGAAGCATGCATAGCGAGTTGTTCTTGTTAGACATGTGGTGGAGAAAGCGGTGTCCTCTCCCCAGCAGCCTGCAGTCAGCACGCACGCAGCAGGGGTGCGGGTGGGAACTGGCAAAAAGCAGAGGAGAACCAGCGGTGTGCTGCCTGCAAGCTCTGAGGGTCGCGCAGGGCGGCCATGAGGTGCAAAGAAAAGATGCAGTTTGCAGCATTGTCTTGGATCCTTTGCTGCCGTATGCAGAAATAAGCCAGATCCCTGGCATTTCAGAGCGCAGGATGTATTAAAAAAAAAAAAGGGGGGGGGAATCGCTGCATCATAAATACCACTTTGCTGCAAACTTTCAGCTTCCCAGCATTGCAGAGGCGTTTTCTGTTTTGCAAATGATGGTTTCTGTTGCTTCCATGGTCTGTTGTGAAAAGGAGCTTGTGGGGAGACCCGTGTTTCTAGCGGAGGGTGCCGCTTCTTTGCCTGCTTCCTTCAGCACAAACTCTTGCCGACTTTCTCCTACCAGTTGTTCACAGTGCCGTTGACGTGTTGACATGCAAACCAGGTTCCATGAGAAGCCCTTACTGTGACAGTTGCAATGATTAACTGGGTAAAAATAATATATTAGAGTTTAATTAAATCTCCTCAGTCAGTGTTGTTGGCCAGCAACCTATCCACTCGGCTCTTTGAACTGGTACCGCTCTCGTCTGGAGGAGCAGGCAGGCATTTGGCAGCCCCGGCACCGAACGGGGCAGACGTTCCTCTGCCCCTGTTGCTGTCGCGCATCGTCTTGCTTGTCCTTCTCAAGTTACCCCCGCGAATTGCTAGTGCTCCCAGAGATTTTTTTTTTTTTGTGCAGAGCGTCTTTTATTCTTTCTTACAGCTCATGTGGAATTAGATCCTTTTAGGTCAATTTATCATTAGATAATAAGCTGTAGAAATGTTCTTTTTGGTGGCGGTCACTTTCTCCTTTTTGAGCTAGAGGAATTCGTAGAGCCCTTCCCTCCACAGGATCCAGATTCTGCCTTTCTATTTTTATTCTGTTTGTTCCCAGCTTTCTGGAAATCAGTGAGTTGCTTCTTATCAGCTTCTTGAGTACTGGCCACCAGGACTTGTGTGTGGACATCTTATTCTTGCTTTCAAAAATAAGAATTTTTAAACAGCTCCCTCAACCTTTCTAGGCTGTAAACAGGTTGGGCACCTCTCTTCTCAGCCAGACCTGATTTCATAGTATTCTAATGTAGCTGCTGGAAATATCAGGGAATGAGTCTTTGCAGCTGGACTCTTGTCTGCCACATGCATTTTTCTATCCTTACATCCTGTCCACTTGCTTTTGACCCTTCTGATACCGGAGTTAACTTTTCAACAGCTTCCAGCATCTGAAGCTCTCATTCATATGTCTCTACATCCAAATACAAACCTCAGCCAAAAGCTACTGTTTTTCCTTTTTCGCCTCTTAAATTTCTCTCCTCTTCTCTCCCTCTTACTGACATGTGTAATTGCACTGAGCTTTGAATTGTTTGGAGACAGTTTGTGCGAAGAATGCTGTACAGAGCAGTCCCGTTTGTTTTGCTGTGCTAACTGAAGCTCTGGCACGTTGCGCAGATTATACTGTGGATTGGCCTGGGAATACTGGTTATTAGTACGTATACCACCTTGTCTGCAACGGAGGATGCCCCTGTGAAGACAGAAGCGGTGGGCTTGGAGCACCTGGACGGAGAGGAGAACAGAATCGACCAGGATTCAGTCAAAATCCCAGGTATGTGTCTGCTTGGGTTCTGCTTCCCAGCCCTGCTCCCAGCTCCACCTCTTTAAAAAAGTGTGGTTTTTTTTTTTTTTTTTTAAAAAGTGTGGTGGAAGCAGGGTCTCTTCCAGGCAGCTCCGTGCATCGTCACGGCATCCTGGGGACTTTTCCCAAGAAAGGCTGCAGTTTTGCCTTCTGGAAAAGCCTGGTGTGAGCTCCGGTGGTACCCTGTGGGAGTTATTCTTTTGGAAAGGGAAAGGAAAGGTAGGGTGCGGGGGCTGGGGTCCCCTGTAAGGACAGAGCACGGGTCTCCCCATTCGGAGTAATAAATGCAGCTCTGTGAGCGCAGCCCAGCGATGGCTCCGCGCTGGCCACCTGTACGAGGGGTGTGAGTGGCCAAACAGGGCTGCTTTCACCATTTCTGCCAGCGCATTGTCCGCGGTTCCAATAACAAGCCATTCATTGCACTCAAAGGTATGTAAATTTATGGGCACTGACTTTTTTTAGTTGTGAGGATATAAATTTGGATTCGGTTTTAGCTCTGACAAAGCCTGTGATTATGCCTCAGCTTTGTTTACTGGTTCACATTATTTATTATTTGTTTACTGTGGCCGTTGATAGAATTACGGCCGATCCCTCCCTTCCCCAGCTGCAGGCTTGCCTTGCAAGGCCGTTGCTAGCAGGTGTCGCGTGACCCTGCGCTGCCCCTCATCTGTGGCTGTGTCCTGTTTCTTTATTTTATTTTTGTTTGGTTCTGCTCGGGCTTTTTTTTTGTTCTTCGGGGGGCCTTGAAATATCCTCGCAGAGATTGAGAACGGAAGCGAGAAAGGGGCTGTCTCTTCTGGAGATTATCCTCCCTCCTGGTTGTTGGCTGTGCTCCTGCCAAGCAGCTTTGAGTGTCACCGAGACACCGGCGCTGCCGCCGATAACATTCACTCCTGGGTTGCTCCGTCCCTGGCAGTGGTGGGGTTTTATGTGTTTGTGCTCATGGTTCACCCGAGACGTGCATGCCTTCTCAGGCACTAGGATGCCCGTGAACTCTGAGCAAAAGATGCTCTCAATCCCTTAATCGTGCACGCTCAGCAGGGCTGGGAGGAGGGATGCAATTGAATTCTTCCGTCTTGGTTAATTTTGGAGCAGTAATGGCCAAAGAACAGCTGCTCGTTTCAGGAGGAGTCGCTAATGACACGTGTTCTTGTGACTGGGAAAATAAAAAAAGTCCCATAAAAGATGGTGTCCGCTGGAGTTTGCTAAATCTCTTCTCCACTTCTTCTCCGCGTGAGCCGGGGCGGCAGAGCAGGACGCCTGCGTCTAATCATCGCGGAGCGCAGCGACTCGTCGGTCGCCGTGCCGTACCCACTACGTGCGCCCAGAGCTCGTCAGCGTTAGCCCTTATTGCGTGGTACTTGCTGCTGGATTAAATAATCGTACCTGGGAAGAAGGTGGTTTTAGTGCTCTCGGTTCATAAACTTCCCTGGGGAGGAGCTGTGCAGCTCCTAACAGGCGGACGACGAGCGTCTGCCCAGGGAAAGCTCAGCTACCCTCCGAGTCCAGCGTGGTCCCTGTCGTAGCGGGGGGCTGCTGGCTCTGCCCCGGGGAGCGGAGCCTGCCCTGGGTGCTCCATCCCCTGGGAGGAGGAAGCAGGATGGGGCTGGGGGAGATGGAGCTGGGCAGAGGAAGGGGGACAAGGACCTTGCAGGGCGGACGGTGCTGGGGGAGCAGCGACGGGTGGATGTGGGGCTGCCCCGGGAGAGCCATGGTCCCGCTCCGCCGCCGCGAACCGCCC